GATCGATGGTCTGAAATTAATGAACTGATCGCCTTCCAATTCCAAAGGTTGCAAGCGTTAGTCTTTGGGATAGAGCAACCACAAGTGCAGAATCTATCAACTGCATTTGGCTTATCTTTATTACTCTTTATTCTTTGCAATACCCTGGCCTGAATGTAATATTTCCTTTTATCGAACTTTCCGTATCATCTTCACTATTCACCAAAATTTCCTATGAACTTGCCCTTAACCTAAATACTAAAAGTAGTTATTCATTTTATGCTTTTTACTTTTGATACTTTAGTTTCTTCTTTACTTCTTTGTTGGCCAAGAACGGACTGATCTCTTGAGGTGACAGATGACAGCTTCCAAGCTAAAAATATTTGTACCCATACAATGCATAATGCCACTGACTCACTGGCGTTTAACAAAAAGTGTCATACTTGAATGATCCGCATTCCGGAACGGGCTGAAGCTTCATCGCACATAATGCATGCATAAAACAGTCCTTATAAGAAAACATTTGTTAAACTGGTGATGGCTCACATGCTATTTTGCCACATCGGCACACAACCAGTTGAAATATGGAAGTGCGGGTGAAACCCATCGAGGGAATACCCCGCATGGAAGAAGGTCCCCTGAGGACGGTTCCATGATTAACCGTTTTATTTTAATTGAACTTTCGGCTAAATCTGTATTTGTCATTGTTCTCATTTCCTTACTCACTCCGATACCTTCAGACTGTCAATCACTTCAGAAACCCAGTTGGGATCCGTTATACAAACAAGCACAGTTAACTATTTTATGCGATCTTGTTATACAGATTGATCAGTCCACACAGTTGGACTGTGAATCGCATCGTATATGAATAAACCGTTTATTTAGTTAGTTAGTGCTATCCTGTTAGCGTATACCGTTAGCTACTAAAACCCAACCACTTCACCAAATGAATAAGTAACCAGTTGAAACTCAGCATGCATTGAAACCGTCTACGGTGCCATTAGAGCTACCTTTCAATCGAACCCGCAGACACCATACCTCTCTCCCAACTTCTGTAATATTCATATCTCTACTTTTTCCCCAAAAATCGGTTGAATATTGTACTATATGCACTGCAAGTTGCTGCATAAACTTCGACATTAGGGAGTGTGACTTTATGAACTACGTTAGGTGGTTGTAATCGGATGAGAATTTAACTTCTTTCCTTAAGCGGCCTTGGTTACAACAGTCCTTTGTGTTATTCTCTAGGCCGTGATTTCAAATACAACATCATAATCCATCCAAAGATGTCAGATATTCATTAGGTCTTCACCTACGTCGTCAAGTCATGCTTCTATTTATCATGGCGATAATTTTTAAATACCTCGTCTTAATTCTCACCCTAACCACCCTATTGTACCCGGTATGAGTTAGCCTGTGATTTTATTAGCACTGTTCCATTGCTCCTTTTTGTGCCTTTGGTCTGATTAACATAAATATGTTCTGTCGCAACTCAATAAGATTCAAATTAGAAGCAATGGATAGTAGCTCACCATACACTGTCTGCATTTTTGAAATGCCGAGCTGTTAGAGTCAGTTCAGGGGCGTTTCGAATCAAAATAAAAACTTTGCGGATATAAGAGGTTATAGACCAAGTAATAACATTAATACAATCTTTTAAGTCAATTTCAAATTGCGGCATATATGAAGAGGTCACGCTCATACTGTACCTTACTAAGGACATGTGGATAAGGTGCATTTGATTCCACCGTGTCCCAGTATGCTGCAGGATAAGTTTTAACTCGGAAATCTCTGTGACACCACAACGAATGTGCATACGTAGCACACAGTGTGTCGACAATTTAGCTCCTCAGTGTTACTAGAGCAAGGAGAGCAAGGAGGTAGACACAGGTGCATCTTAATATGCTTAATTGACACTTAATGTCATGTGAACCTGTTTGAGTGAACAAGAATGCGCCCTTGAGCCTACTAGTTTGCCTAGATGTCGATATATGAGCGCGGTGGTGTTAATGCATTCGCACAGTTGGTCGTCCGATCAGCTTGTAAATGGAATAACGCTGTTCCGACCACCGTCTAACAGGCGGTAAGCAGCTATACTTCCTGTCGCTTCTATGGGCGATGCATTCGAGTATGCACTTCTACACCAAGCGGTTGCACAGGTGGACGGTAGCCATGTGTAGATGTGATTGTGCACAAATGCACGTATATCGATAGATATACGAGCTGGCGATAAAGCGGATTCGCAGTTAGTGCGTTGGACCGAATCAATGGTAACGAAGTCAGTTCCAAGCAGCTGTTGCTGGGGAATACAAGACTGGTGCAGATGTCAAGACGTACGGATCGAGTATCAGCGTATGACAAACGCATGCTAATCTCCTTATCCTAAGTTATGTTCTGCCCAAAGGAATATCTACACGTGCATCCTATAATACATCATAGACTGGGCGGACACAACCACTTCGCCTACCCCTAATACTTGATAAACATAAGATCTAATGATGTATCTAACAGTTTACACACGTGACATCTGCCGTCAGTTTGTCAGTAGTTAATTTACATGACTGGATGGTGGCGTGATTCGGAGTACTCCCGTTGTTTATTTGCATACCGTTTGGACTTAATCCTTTGATGGTACGCGGGCTATACAATGTAGGAATTGAGCTATCGATGCCACAACCTCAGTTCCACAGGCTTCTCTGTGGGTCAGGAGGACTTGAGATTGCAACTGACACGATTATTACGGATGTGCACTAAATAGATCCATAAGATGGCATAACGGCCAACATGCGCTTACGTACGTAAACATATGATACATTTGATCCAGTCTTGTGCACCTGTGACTAGTGTAGTCATTACTGGAGTACTTAGTTCTTCATCGGTCAGACCGATGGCACCTTAACTAAGCACCCCTGTGCGTATGAACGCCGGAAACTTTTACAGAAAATGTTTGGGTTGAGGATCGGTTATAGTTTCCAAATTGTGTACCACTGCTATATCCGGGTATTGCGAGTACCATGGTTGCATCGGCGGTTTGAAACCTCATCAAAACACACGTCTTCTCGTGCAGTGTACTACTCCATACCAGCGCATGTTGGATTACCTACCACACTTACGTCTGTTACTCACAATCCTAGTGGACCGCTATTTTGCAAGGTGAACGATACGGCTGGTATCAAGTACAGGGCATTGTTGGCGACCATATAGTGTGCTACTTATCCGGGATAACCTTGTCTATGTTAATAGTGGCCAGCTATACCACATGAAGAATGACTTCTATGACGGGTTTTGTGATGTCATTGTGTAACGAATTGGATAGTTTAATTTCCTTTGATGGCAAAAGCTGTAACTTCTTAATGCATATATATCCATTCATTCACATGACAATGCGCAAATTTCGAGTTCCTCCTTCAAAATGATAAGGGATGATGAATCGTCCATTAGCGCCGGCGCAATTATAGCTGACCAAATAAAGGCGGTCACAGACTGCATAATGACTACCTTTGACTCGTTGACGCAGGTGGACCCCTAATGTCACCAGTCAACGAATGCGAAAGAAATCATTTTATTTGTTTCAATACGGAACAAATCCTCATCAGTTCTTCCTGAGTTATCCGTGCAGCAAGCCAGATGGTGAAGTTGAAACCGGTTTTAGTCCAAAGAGAAAAACCAGGCATTCTGACACGACATCAATCCGATCAATAAATACTTTCTGCGAGAGATTGGAAGGACAATATAGCTTGATATATGTAAAAGAAAGCCACAAGTATGGTTGTAAATGTCTTGTATAGATGCATTTATGGTACGCCCCATGCTGAGGCTGGTGTTGCATTCATGATGCTTCTTCACCGCAGTTGGGCTGAACCAACTTACACTCAAACTTGGTATCTTTATGAGGATAAAATTCATTTCACTTTATTTGGTTTGTCCTGCCTACCTACGTAATCTTCTATTAACTTGAATATGTTGCTTACGCTAATCGTGGTTATCTTCGTTAACTTTGTTGCGTTTGCAACATTTTGTGAATAACGTGGACACTTTGTACCTGTCGCGGATTCGTTGCTAATCAACTTACTTCATATGCTAATGTAGCGAAGAGTTATGTCGGCATAGCCGTATTCTTTAACAGATATATTTTATTTAATATATCATTTCAAGTGATTGGCTGTTACTTGATATCCCCAGTGTGGCTGCGCTTGATGTGCATGTTGAAACGTGCCTACCTGTCCATTACTCACTACCTCGTCTATACTAATTCCAGCAGACCGTTGGTCGTTGCTGGAGGGGACGGGGTGTACGGTCCATGGGCCTTGCTAGGCTCGAATTGTGGTTCCATGCACTCAGTGTGGAGCGGACTACGCTCCAGCCACCGCCTTGTGTGCGCATGATTCCCCAAATACAGCATGCTTGTGTTTGTCTGTGAAGGAGTGTGGGCCGGCTCCGTTGATGCAACTTGGCTGCTATCCACGTGCCTCCCGGTCTTATTCCTTCGGATTTACATTAGATATGGGGTGTGTTGTTGGAGCAGTGGGTGGTGCAGCGCAAGCCATCCATGGTCCCTCTGTAGGCGCAGGCGTCCTGTGACTGGCCACAGTGACAGGCAAATCCGAAACCGGATGCCACCAACCACGGGACTCAGGAGAATCGCAATCAAGCTTAAAACATGCACACGGGAGCTGGCAATTCGTGACATTATGGTGTGTGTAGTGGTCTACTAAGACACCGCGGCGCTCAGGCGTAGACGTTTTCTTGTGTCAATTAGTTTGATAGCAACCTTCGTGGTCAAACGGCTGACCAATTAGTGTGCTAGGTGTTGGACTAAGCTCACATAGCTCTATCAATCATGGCCACCGCACACTGCGTTCAGGTCACTCTAAGCAAATAACCTGAAGCAAAGTTTATCAAACCAATCCAATTCGAGGTACATTAGTCGACCAGTAGTAGTATTTTCATCTGGTTGCAGTAGCTATGGTGCCAGCTTCGGCGCATCTTTCAAACGAGGTGGATGCGTTTTAGGCTGGAAAATGACAAGTCGTCACCGGTCCCTTCCGGGCACGTCTAGTACGGTGTTTGAGAGGATGCAGAAAAGAGTGAACCAACTGCCGAACAATTTTAAGGTATGTTTGAACAATGCATTATCAATAATAGCCATACTGGAACTTAGATGATGCATCGGCACAGCAGTTATTGGCACTTTTCGTATAAAACCGCGCGATAGAAATGTGGCCCAGAGGGATAGCGTAGACTCTATTCTAGCGCAGGCCATTCGCTTTTCTTTTGATGATAATATGGTTCCATAGCTGCCGTTATGTGGTTGTGAACATGAAAATAGTTTGTGAAGCTATTAGCTCAGTTTACGTTTATCAGTACATGGCGGGTGATTAGATATTTGTTATTTCGATACCATATACTTTGTCAAAAGATTGCTACCAACGAATTTCGTTCCGAAACTTCCCGTCAGGCAAAAATAATTATGAATTGCAATATCATTGGGAATTATAAGCTACTGCTAGCCTAGCACAGTAATGCGGTGTCGAGTCTGAGGTGCCGCGGTCAATAGTCAATTTAGGACACCGCCGAAGAGCAATGCACAAAAAGTCAGCTGACGGATCCGTGTCCTTGGGAGGATAGTGCCTTGCATAAGTGCTTCCTGATTGTATAATTCCGGTTTCATTTTTGCTCGTCATAGCCTCTGCAGTGACCAGCAAGCGCTTTCTGAGCCCTTTTGGGAATCTTTTGGCTGCGATCTAGGATGCGCAAAATCAGTACATCTGTACTGACTTGGACAGTCCCAGGTTTGACTATGTAAATTATGGTAAAATGTCCTAAATTATACTTCTCTTATGTGTTAGGGTAGTGGGTGGTTTGCTAGTTTGAATTTTGCTCCCGTTTGTTTGAATCACACACGAAACATTGGCATTAGCTTTACTATCAGTCGGACGCGATCGGCTGATTTGCCCTCGTCCTTGCACTCCTCCCCAGCTAGCTCTCTTCTTGTGCCTTATTTTTGTCTTTAGCCACTTCAGAGATCGTCCAATAAATCTTTTCTAGCTTATTTTCGAGTATTTTTTCGTGCTGGTTCGGATGGCCGCTTAGCCGCGAATCTGATATTTACGCAAGACCAATACACTATACGTTGTCGGGATATGGTGTTCAATATTTACGGTCGCCTTGCCGCAGTGATGCCGGGCAAATTTTCCACAATCCACCTCGAGGGATGGCTGGTCGTATGTCCGATATATCATGTACCACAGATGCAGCTGAATTGATATGGAAAGAATGACTAGGATTGGACCGGAAACTTGTCTTTGAGGCGGTGTGTATTAAGCTGGGCGATCTCAAGGAGAACGTGGAACCTAGCATATGGATACGTCTGGTTCACTGCTTTCAGCATTTTCCTATTCAGGTTTAAGGAGATATCCCCTTTGAACGAGACAGAATGGAGGATGTCCTTTTTCTTTTCGACTGCTATTATCGTAGGTGGTGCGTGAAATATGGAATGTTTTTTGATGAATGCTGAGGGGTTCCCCCATTGCTTTCCAGTGTTTTAACGATGAAATGTTTTAGGCTCCAGCGTGTCTGAGCTACAGCTTCTTGTGCTGCAGTAGTATAGATTACGCACTAGGTTTCGCTTGTACTTTATCGGTACAAAACGTAGATAGTGCGAGTCCTGACCCACCCGAGTTTATTTCCCAAAACCGTTTGTATAGGAGACACATCACTTCTCCGCCGTAGCACGATATTCGAAAATGTTAGTTTGTCTTTCTCTTCCGTCTGGCAAGTAAATCTTAGCGATGGGTGGGTGTGAATTATAAATTCTCGAGAGAAAACTACTACACTGCATATTGATAAGTAACCTGTTCTTTCTTAGTCTTTTACCTGATCAAACTGGATCCGCCTATTTCTCGCCAGCACTAAGTTCCCACACAGCACCCGCCACAAGGTGACATGACGCCCAACAGCCTTGAACCAGCCATGGACAGAAATCGATCACATCGCGATCAGTCACTGCTGAAGAGGCTGCATCCAAAACTGTCGCTCGCTTTGGAGCACATTTGCGGATACTGACCATACACTTGTGTGTGCTGTTCTGTGGGTGCGTTTGGCGGAGGCCCTCGACGACCTTGTGACCGCATAGACAGTAGCCAACTTGCAGAGCCAGATGTTCTAAATGCGTGTCGAAGTACGCCGGCATTCGGGCTGAGTAAACGCTTACTGAATACAGCCGGTCACTGGTCGTATGTTCACCAACTGTTATTAACAGCAGACAACTCCTCATGTGACGAATTTCTTCTTATACCGTTCAACTTACCTACCACTTCCTTCCAATCAGTACGCAGACCAGGCTACTTATGATGACTTAGGTTAGTTAGCGCCTTAATTTTGGTAGGTTCGTCGATGCAACCCAGTAACGTGTAAGTCATTGAGTAATGAGCGGTGTTATATCACATCTAGCAACTTAGTCACTTTGATTGTTGTCGTTCCCCGTAGCCCAGTGACCTTCACTAGGAACTGGTAACTCTCGGGTTCCGGGTTCGAGCTCCGCAGTGCTCAGATGGAACGCACACTGCCCACGATTCCCGAAAGGAGGAAGCGGCCGCACAGTGCTGTTCCGGGAGTGTTATCACTGTCAGACTGAGTCTAGATGTGATGAATATCTATTTATAAATCTGATAGCCAATCTGGACCTTGAGTCTCCTCGAAGTCTCTGGTGCTTATCAAAAGTCGCCGACACATTCCGGCTGGAAGTGAACACAACGAAAATCGCAAAGACTTCAGAGCAAAAGTTCGTGCTAGCCCGAACAGAGACCGCAAATCCTGGTGGTCTCATCGTGAGTCTAGGATGGAAGTGGCCAATGGCCCTGGCAACCATCAGTATTCATTTCGTCTAATACGAGAAATGGGAGGCAGGGAAACTGTATGTGACGAGAGTGGACAGCCAATCCACAGCTTGTCAAAAATCTTGCAGCGTTGGGTTGAGCACTTTATTAAGCAGTTTAATCGGCTTGAATTATCAGTTTTTTCGCCGGTCAATGATCGCCCTGCCCCTTGGGTTTTCCCTTTGTATTCGTCCTTTCAATCAGAAGTCGAACGTGAGACCGGAGTGCTGAAGTCAAACAAAGCCGCGGAAACGGATGATCATCTTCCAGTCCCTTCCAAATTCTGGGACCTGCTAACATGAATGATTTGCGCACGTTAATGACGAAACCGTGTGGGCAGGAATTCGTCCCAACCTCCTGGAGCCGATCCAATTTGTCACGGTCTTAAAGAGAGTCACACTTCCGAAACGCCGTAGTTTTAGAGAAATCAGTCTGATCGTTGTCGAGACAAAGTTAATTGCCTGTCATCCTTCACAAATTGACCGGCACCTGGGAAAGCCAGATTCGTGTGCCGTAATCCGGGTTTTATCGACGTCGGGGCTGCGTGGATCACATGTTCACTTTACATAAATTTTTGGAGTATCGTCAATTATATTAGTGGCCCACCGTTTTCGAATTCCTTGACAACAGACGTGCCTACGATTCGGTAAAGTAATGTGTCCTTTGGGACTAGCTGCTAAGAAAGTGTATGCCCGAGAAATAGATAGACATTATCCAAGCGCTTTACGCGCGTAGCTCGGGCAGAGTGAGGATTATGGCAAGCTGTTGTTGTCCTTCAATATCTCCAGCGGAGTAAAACATGGATACTAGCTGTCGTCATTTCTCTTCAACTACGTTATTAACAAATTCATGAAAATCGCCTTCACTGGACACTACTTCAAAGGTATGGAGCTGCTTCCACGTGAATCATTTCCTGAGATGGTGTACCCTGATGACGTTGCGCTCATCTCTGACAGTTCGCAGACTTGCCAAGCAGCCATAGAGAGATTAGCACAGGCTGTCGGCCATTTCGCTTTGCACCCTCGAAGTGAAAAGCTCTCTTCCAAAATTAGCAGTGACCGCCTCCTGCGTTGACCCTTGGTGAGGATCAGCTGGAACCCATTCAGCAATTCAAATACCTAGGCAGTTGTATCAGCGTATTTGGAATAGTTAACGAGGTCAAGAACCCTATGGCATAGTCCGATGCGCTTGTGCCAACTTTCATCACTTATGGGGCTGGCGCCCTGAAGGGTGGAGTACTCAATGCAGTCGTACTTTCAACTCCACTGTAAGTTTGTGAGACCCGGCCCATTAGGTCAGCAGACGTAAGAAGGCTAGTTATGTTCGAAAATCCATGCTTTGGGAGTTTGGATCATATGTTGTGGGAACGGCGTGCGAGCAGTAAGCATGTTCGACACCTTGTTTATGATACAAAAAGCGGAAGTGAACAGCTCAGCACCATGATATCACGCACCGTGCTCCGATAGGTGGGCAACGTGTTGACATGCCGGCCCACCGACTCCCGCGACGTGCATTGTTTGCGCGACCGAGGTGGGGAAAGAAGAAGAGAGAGGGAGACCAACCCACGACATCGTCAACGTGATGAAATGCCTTTATTTCAAAGTTGGCCCCGGTTAAAGTATGTCGACTCCTTGGTTGGGGCGCAAAAGACGAGGAATACGTTTGGCTGGATACACTTGTTGACATGGTTTTGATCCGACTTCAGTGACGTTTGTGTCATGAGTTTCATGGTTTCTCCCCTCCCGTTTAGTCTCCTCTCCAGCCACGATCCCATTTCGGACGCATAACATAAGCATTTTCCGGCACAGTAGCCGGCTTCTAGCTCTGCGGAACGAATTTCATCGGTTAATGATGGCTCAGCTGGCGTGCCTATGTTACGTCTATTTTTCTTTCTCATTTATTGCGACCCAACAACAGACGTTTCCAAACTCCAGCCAAGGTATATAGTGATGATGATGATCAGCTTTGCTATATCCATTACCGTTTGAACGATACAAACTTACCCCTGTTACGTCTGTGCGAGTCGTTTCACTTATTAAAGTACGTTGTAATATTTCAATTTATTCTGCCCACCACCATAAATGTTACTGCACAGGCCTTGAGTTTGTTTACTCAATTGGCCTGCTACCTGCTTCTACCACTGTAACACAAGTTGCATGCTTTGCGACTCGCTGATAAACGGATGAGTTTAATCGATTTTCTGCACTGCACTGTCAAAGGATGAAGACGAATTAAAA